AAGAAAGCTGAGTGCGAAAGAATTGATGCTTTTGAACTGTGGTGTTGGAGAAGACTCTTGAGAGTCCCTTGGACTGCCAGGAGATCCAACCAGTCCATCCTAAAGGAGATCAGTCCTGGTGTTCATTGGAAGGACTGAAGCTGAAACTTGAGTACTTTGGCCACTGATGCAAAGAACCGACTCATTGGAAAAGACCGTGGTGCTGGGAAAGATTGATGGCAGGAGAAAGGGATGACAGAGAATGAGGTGGTTGGATGGCATCACCGACTCAATGGACATGAGTTTGAGCAAGCTCCGGAAGTTGGTGATGGACAGGGAAGCCTAGTGTGCTGCAGTCCATGGGGTCGCAAAGAGCCGGATGTGACTGAACGACTGAACTGAATTGTGAGTCACCGGATATCATTAAACCCCTGTTGGCATGCCTCCAGGGATTCAAGAGTTCCAAGTCCCACTACCTTTCTTATTTAAAGTGCAGCCCGGGGACTTCCCTGGTAGTCCAGTGGCTAAGGCTCCATGCTTCCAATGCAGGAGGTCTGGGTTTGATCCCTGGTCAGGGAACTCGATCCCACGTGCTGCAACTAAGACCTGGTGCAGTCAAATAAATTAAAATTAAAAAAGAAATTGCTGCCTGACTGACTGTGCTTTCGGGAGGTACAGAACATGGGCACTGCTCAGGCTGGTCAGAAGCAAGGTCAGAGGTCTGCTCTTCTGCTTCTGAAGCCTGAACAAGACTTCCTTCATTTTAATTTCCCTAAACAGGAAGTCTACCACATTAGTTCTTATACTTTCTTGAAAATTGGGATAATTAATTACTAGAATACTGGTGCAGTTGCAGAGATTGTATAAAACAATTAGATGAGGTGTGTTGAGAAATAACATTCATTAACTTGAATGTGCCATGTGGTACCTGGCTTGAAGAATCTCTGCTCTCTTTCTATAGGTACTTGATTGTGATCTATTTCATGTATTTTACAGGTCACCCATATACAATTCAGTGATTCAGGTATGTTGACAGACATGTGCAACCATCAACACATATCAATTTTAGAACATTTGGATTACCCCAAAAAGAAATCTTGTACTTATGAGCTGTAATGCCCTGTTACCCCTTCTCCCCAGGCTCTGGCAACCACTAATCTACTGTCTCTCTGGATTTACACATTCTAGACATTTCACATTAATGGAAGCGTATAATACATGGCTTTCTGTGACTGGCTTCTTTTATTCAGCATAATGTTTTCAAGGCTCATTCATGATTATAATGTATATCAGTACTTCATTTTTTGTTGCCACATAATATTCCATTCTAAGGGTTCCCCTGGTAGGTCAGCTGGTAAAGAATCTGCCTGCAATGCAGGAGACCCTGGTTTGATTCCTGGATCGGGAAGGCCCCCTGGAGAAGGGATAGGCTACCCACTCCAGTATTCTTGGTGGCTCAGATGGTAAAGAATCCACCTGCAATGTGGAAGACCTGTGTTCGATCCCTGAGTTGGGAACATCCCCTGGAGGAGGTCATGGCAACCCACTCCAGTATTCTTGCCTGGAGAATCTCCATGGACAGAGGAGCCTGGCGGGCTATAGTCCAGGGTTTGCAAAGAGTCGGACATAACTGAGCGACTAAGCACAGCTTTCCATTGTATGGACATAACATTTTATTTACCCAACCGTCAGCTGATGGACATTTGGGTTGTCCAATTTTGGATATTATGAATATTCTTTGAACATTCATGTACAAGATTTTTGTCATGGACATATATTTTCATTTGTGTGTGTATCTAGGAGTAGAATCGCCACACCACATGGTATTTCTATGTTGAATATTTTGCAGAGCTGCGAAACTGATTTCCAAAGCAGCTATGCCATTTTACATTTCCACTGACCTCGTGTGAAGGTTTCAATTTCTCTACATCCTCATCGCACTTGTTGTTGTCTGTCTTAATTTTAGGCATCCTAAAGGTCGTGAAATGGTATCTCATTTGGTTTTGATTTGCATTTTCATAATGATTTATTGAGCATCTGTTCATATACTTATTGGCCATGTTTGTTTGTAGAAATAATCTATTGAATCCATTGCCCATATATTTATTTATTTCTTTAATTTTAAAGACAGATTTGTAGAGTAGTTTCAGGCTCACAGCAGGATTGAGAGGAAGATGCAGATTTCTCACGTATATTGTGGTTACACACATGCATCCCATTATCAGCATTCCTCACCAGTGTGGTCCTTTTACTTTTCTCCCTTAAAGCAAGTTGTGACCCTGCACCAACACACCGCAACCACGCAAAGTCTGTACTGTACTTTAGGGTTCACTCTTCCTGTATGTGATGAAATGTGTCTGTCATTACAGTGTTTTCACTGCCCTAAAAATCCTCTGTGCTCCCCTTGTTCATCCCTCCTCCTACGCCAGCCCCTGGCAACCACTGATCTTCCTGTTGTCTCCATAGTTCTGTCTTTTCTCGAACGTCATGTAGTTGGAATCATACAGTATTGTGACCTTTTCAGATTCTTTGTTTGTTTTTAAAATTGATTGATTTGTTGGTGTTGAGTTTTAGGAGTTATTTACATACTCTAGATAGAAATCCTAGATCAGATACATGATTTTCAAATATTTTCTCCCACTCTGGATTGCCTTTTCATACTCTTGATAGTGCTGTTAGTTGTAGAAATTGTTTTATTTTGATTTAGTCCAGTTTATTTCTTTTTTTTAACCTGTGTTTTTAGCGTTGTATCCAAAAAATCATTTCTAAATCTAATGTCATGTAGCTTCCTCTTATGTTTTCTTCTAAGAGTTTCTAAGTTTTCCACTAAGTCTTTCATCCATTTTCTGTTAATTTTTGTATGTGGTGTAAAGTATGTGGGTCCAGTTTTATTTTTTCACATGTGAGTATCCAGTTTTTCCCAGCACTCTTTGTTGAAGAGACTGTCCTTTTCCCTTTGAATGGTTTTCGACCCTTGTCAGAAATCATTTGAACACATGTGAGTTTATTTCTGGGCGCTCTGTGCTCTTCCATTGGTGTGTATGTCTGTCTGTATGCCATTATAGTGCCGTCTTGATTACTTTGATCAGTTTGGAGGTAAATTTTGAAGTCTGAAAGTGTGAGATCTCCAACTTTGTTCTTTTTCAGTATTGTTTTGGTGATTTGGAGTCTCTTGAGATTCCATGTGAATTTTAGGGTGGGATTTTCTCTTTCTGGAGAAGAAAACATTGGGATTTGATAGGGATTGCGTTGAATCTGTGGATTGCTTTGGGTAGTGTTCACATCTCAACAGTATTGTCTTCCCATTCATGACTCCTAGATGTCTTCTCACTTAGTTATGTCTTCTTTAAGTTCTTTCAGCTATATTTAGTAGTTTTAGTGTACAGATCTTTCATCTCCATGCTTAAGTTTACGTCAAAGCATTTTATTCTTTTCGATGCCATTGTAAATGGAATCATTTTTCTTAATTTCCTTTTCTGATTGTTCATTTTATCTTTGCCCATTTTTTAATTGGATTATCTTTTTATTGTTGTAAAAAGTTCTTTATATATTCTGCATGTGGTTTCCTTTTCAGATATGATTTATAAATATTTTCTGTCATTCCATGTTCTACTTTTCTTTACTAATACGAACTCTTTGCATGAAGCATGAAAACACTTCTCCCAAAATCTTCCCTTTAAAAAGATAGGAAATGCTAAGATATTTTATAAGAATTTACTAACATATTAGACTTCTTAGCAATTTTTCTATTTGTAAAATGTGGTGGTAGATTTTATAGAATAACATTTAGTGAAAAGTATGTTCATGAACACTACAATAGCCTAGAAAATGATATATTAGGCAAGTGGGATATAACTTAATTATGTCACACAAATAAAATTATATTTTTTTGAAAAATCTCAAACTTATACATGGGAAAAATGATTAGAAAGAAACCTACCAAAATGTTTATGGTGGTCATGGAGTGACCAGGACAATGAGTATTTTGTTTTCTTCTTCCTGTCTGTGTTTGGATGTATATTTAAGGTTTTTTTTTTTAACTACAAAAAATTCTTTTTAAAGAATGGTGAAAATTGTGTGGCCCAGTGGAAAAATGAAACTTATTCTGTGTCGTCATATGTTATATTTTCCTATATCATTTCCTATGGGTATCAGTGTACTGTCATCCTTGAGGTTAGGGTAGCACTGTGTTTCATCCTGTCTTTGTAGAACTAAAAAGCAAGTGTTACAACATCCCCTGCCTGAGTGCTACACACCCTAGTGAAATTAAACATCAAATCTCTAATAGTTTCCTGTAAATCTCTTGCACTCTCATCCACCTATACTGTCTTAAGTTATATAACTGAACCAGTGATACTGGACTGATTAGTTTGAAATTCCTAAGAGAGCTGTTAGCCACTTAGAGTAAATATGAATGATGTACTTTATATTCCATCTGTTTGTACTCTGTTGAAAATTGACTTCAGGAGGTCATTTCCTTCATTATAACCCATTCCTTTGTTAGTGTTGTATCCCATCAGTCTATATCACTTCAGAAAATTGTGTCTTGTTTCTTATAAACATTAAAATTAATTTTTAAAAGATCTAAGTCTGCTGAAGAATTTTTTTTTAACAGGTCTTGGAATAATGTTAAATGAATGTATTGTCTGCTCTAATTATCTAATTTAAATTACTACTTTAAGTAATGGCTTTTTTAACTCATATTTAGCGTGACCACATGAATCAATTTGGTAAAACAACCAGATAATTTACTTTAAAAATCAATTACAGAAGTTGTCTCTGTTAATTGGAGATTGGCAACTGTGTAGGCAGTCATCAGTTATCACAATTAGTTGAACTGTAGAGTATTCCATTTATGATGCTTACTTAGTAGGCATTTAAACAGAGCTGAAAGACGTTAAAGATTCCTACATAGTCATTGTTTCTATTGTAAACATTCAGTAGTAATTAGAATTTTGAAAAAGGGCTATAATAAAGTTTTAGTTTGATAATAGCTAAAAATAATTTCTCTGCTGTTTCAGGAGTTGGTAATGCTTCTTTTAGAGTACAACGCTGATACTACTACTGTTAATGGGAATGGCCAGACAGCAAAGGAGGTCACTCATGACAAAGAAATCAGAAACATGCTTGAAGGTAAAATATTACGGATCTTACTCTAAACAGCACTTATCTTCATTATAGCCACAGCCCAGGATATAAGTAGAAGATGGTTTCTGAGATGCCAAAATAGGTGCCTGAGCCTGTGCTCTAAAGATAGTGTAATTTGAGAGTCATCGATTGGATGTGAAACTGTCTGAGAGCTTCCTCAGGGCTTTTGAACTTTTACTTTATATAACATTATGGCAAGTTTTAAAAATTCAGTCTCCAGCATAATTAAAAGTAAAAATTAGAGACATGAGAGGGTACAGCTGAAAGGCTGCATAAGTGTGATAATGAAGGAATACAGGAGCCCAGAGCAGGGAAACTCGAGGTGTGTGGCTCCTGGGAGTCACGTGATTCTGGCAGAGAGCGCTCTGGCCGCTCTGTTATCCTGAGGGCATCATTGTAACACAATGGCCAGTAAGGTCTTCATGGATCAGCTTCATTGCTGGATGAACTTCAAAGATTCAATTACATTTAAGAAGACATAGGAGGGATTTCTCTAAAAATAGTTTAAGACAAAAATATTTCAATGCTTACATCAGGAAGCTTCATTTGTTAGGATTGTTACCCAGATATCCAGGGCTTTGACTGTAATTATTTTTGGGTAGTATTTCTGTAGGAGAGAAGGGAAAATTTCTTATTTACTCCCTTATGAATAAAGGTATTGAATTTTAAGTTGCAGTTTCACACACATCCTTTGTTTCTTTCCTTTGCAGTTCAGAGGAGGGCATGATGATGTTTTATTTGAAGGGCATTTACTTATTTATTATAGTATTTTTATCTATGTAAGCACAGTCTTGCTTCTTATTGCTTCCCAGTTGGCCTTGAAACCTAAAATCTCCCTTGTTCCTCTAATTATGTCTGCTTGTCAGACACTTTTTAGATCAGTATTTCTACTTGCTCTTGATTTTAAAATGAACCCTTTCATTTTTAATAAATCAACACATAACATCTTCTATAAGGCTCGGTATTATGTGATTTTGGCGGCGATTGAACATACTAGATGTGATCCCTGCCATTTAGTAAATCATGATCTGATTGGGAGGATGAGTACTGTCTTTGTAATAAGTGTTTGTAATGACTGTCCTGTCATTTTGTTTGTAATAAGATGAGAATCCAGAACTGATGGTCTCCTGATGGACTGGGATACTGGGCTTGCGTGACAAGTTGACATTTAATGGGGCTTGTTGTAAAGACATGCTCTAAGCACCCGACCTCACACCCTCACAACCAAGCTGTGTTAAGGGCAAGAGTTTGGTTGACTTATGGGCTCTATGATTTATCAGCTACAGTATGCTCCTGGCTGGGGAAGTGGAAGTAGAAATTGAGAGATTTTGCTCTGATTCCTTTAGCCAGGTGTGATATCATTTGTGGAGAGCATGATAAATGGGTCAGACTACAGGGAGTGCATCCACAACCCACCAAGACCACAGGTAGACCAGAAACACTATCATAGGGTAATGCATGTAGAGACAAGAAATGTTTCACCCCAGAAGGACAGACTTCAGTAGACACAACAATCATACTCAAGTACCTCAAGAGCTGTTATATTGGAAGACGGATATTCTTATTTGAGGCCGACCAGGGCCAGTTGATGATCTAGTTAATGGAGTGCCAGAGAGTTTATCTTTGGGTCCAGTCTATTGTAATAGTGGCCTGGGTTGCCTTAAAAGAGGTAGTGAGCTTCCCAAACACTTAAAATCCTAGGAGAGGATAGATTACAACTTCTCAGGCACTAGAGAGGACTCTAGTATCCTCTTCTTATCATTTGACTTTTTTTATTTTGAGAAATATCTAACCTTCAAGGAAGGTTTCAAGTGTACAACAAACACCTTGTACATCTGCACTTAGTCACCAGTTATTAACATTTTGCTACATCTGGTTTATATTATTTAATGTTACTTATTTACTTTTAATTTTTTCCCTACACTGTGAGGGAGTAATTTACAGACATGATACTTTAGCTCTAAATACTTCAGTATGTATCTCGTAAGAACAAGGATATTTCCTTATATAATGATCAACTTCATGAGATGTAACATCAATATCATAATATTACTGTTGTAGAGTGCCCCTCAATTTGGGCTTTTCTCTTCTCATATAATTAGATTTAAGCTATCCGTTTTTGGCATGGGTTGTAGTTGGAATAGAATGAGGTTGTGTGCTTTATATCAATGCATCATTTTAGGTACATGATGTCATTTTGTTCTACTATTGGTGAAATTATCTCTGATCACTAGTGGTCCACTGTAAAGGTACTTAGTACATAGTCCCACTTTTGTAATTAGTAAATAATCCTTGGGAAGAAAAATTGAGACCATGGTAAGTATCCTGATTACCGACAAACTTCAAATTGGTGATTTTAGTATTCACTGATAATTCTTGCCTGAATCACTCATTACTATAGAAATCGCAAAGTGGTGATTTTCTTTTGTTAATGAAGTATATTTGCTAGTTTCTCACCTGCATTTCAGGTGTAATGCTATTTAACCTACTCTGGGCGTGTATGTGAGTGTCTTGTCAGGATGGAGTTAGGCTTCATGATCTTTGTGGTCTTCCCTAACTATGAATTCTGATTGAAAAGAGCTAGTTTACAGTCATATAACATTTAAAATTTAAAGGACAGATTATTTGGGGGGTAGAGTGTTGGCTTTAAAAAGATTTCTTGAGGTATAAAATGTATAAAAGTACACATTAATAATGTATGGCTTGCTGTTTTCACAAGGGAACATATCCACGTAAACAGCACCCACATCAAGGAGTAGAAGATTACTGGCACTCTAGAAACTTTAAGTCCCTTAAACTGGAGTACTTGTTTTATTGGCTGGACCAACAGTCTTTTTTTCAGTGTCCAGAATGAATATAGGACAGGAACATAAGCAGAGTTTTCAACTCCAGATCCTGTTTTCCTTCATTTATGAGCCTAGACAATCTAGAGGGAAATCGTAGGGAAGCATAACGACCCTTCCTTAAAGTCTAGAATGATCATTATTAAGCATTGTTTGATTATTCAGAGACTGTTTACTGGCCGAACATGCACTGTGTCGTACTGTTACAACTGCCTAGGATGCACAGAAGAGTAAGAACAGGTACCTGACTCCAGGAATGACTGTGGGGATAAAGTGCAGCTCTGGGAACTACATGCAGTAGCAGAGGTATGTAGGGAAGGCTAGGGACTGTTCTCAAAAGCTCACAGACTGGTGGCCATACAACCAGTGAGAGGAAAGGCTGAAGAGCATGCATTCCAGCGAAAGAAGGCAGTACTGGGAGCCTGTGTGGAGGCTTGGCAGCCTTCCTCCAAGATGGAAAGGGAGGGGATGTGGGCGTAGAAATTAAAATGTGAGGATAGAAGATGCTGGTGTATAATAATGTTAGCTCTTTAGACGAAGCTACTGGCTCGAGCTATTCTGGTATTCAAGTTTTGTGTTTCCTGTAGTTGAAATGCAAGGGCATGCATAGTGTCTTGAACAACTGTTAGTGCATGGTAATTACTAACTATTAATAAATGTTCATTATTTCTCAGGAAGACCTGCGAAACTTTTATATTCCTCCCCTGCAGCCTTTGCACAGGACATTATACACATATTTTAAGGGGGATTATTGCTAACCTTTCTATGAAATTGCTTCTTTTCTGCAAGCCAAAACAGAACTCAGATATAGTAGAGATGAGACCTTATTACATATTTCACTCTTCTAAATCAGATTGCTCTCATTCCCTGCAAGTATGAGCAGCACAGAGTAACGGTAAGAGCAGGTACTCGGAAACCCACCTGCCCAAGTTCAAGTCCCAGCTCCTCCATGTCCTGACTGTGACTTAGGTTAAGTTCCGTAGGTTAAGTTTCTGCCTCAGTTTCTTCAGCTATAAAATTGGGAAAATAGTAAGGCTTCAAAGAGTAGCTACACAGATTTAGTGAGTTAATATTTTTTAAGTGTTTTGAAAGGTATTTGGCATGTAGTAAATGCTATAGTATTTGTTAAGGATATAAAATATTCTTATAAAAAATACGTACTTTATATATAAACCTAAATATATTTATATGGTTTGTATGTCTTAGTGGTCATGAGTATGAGCAAACTCTAGGAGACAGTGAAGGACAGGGAAGCCTGGCTTGGTGCAATCCATGAGGTTGCAAAGACTTGGACATGATTTAGCGACTGAACAACAACAACAACAATGTCTTCTTATTAACACTATTTCTTATTACTTTTCACATTCTAAAGTTCTGGAAGATATGAGCGCCTCTCCCCACTTAATCTGCCTTTCCAAGGCACATATGTATAATAATATTTCAGCATAAAAAAATAATTCATAATTATCTGTGATGGGTATTGTAGTGAGTAACGTACTTAAAGACCTCTGAATTGAAAACATAAATTCATCTGAACGTGAGGGAAGTTCAGCTCTGTAATCTGAAGTCTAAGGTAGTGAGAATAATAATGAAGTCTCACAGCATTTGAACTACAATTCAAAACATTGTGACTTTTCTCACCATGATCCCTTTATTCTTTATACATCTCTGTGATAAATTTGCTAATAGGATCCAGCCTAGAAGTAGAGTAATATGTACTTTTCCTTTTGCAGCTGTAGAAAGAACTCAACAAAGAAAGCTTGAAGAATTACTTTTAGCAGCAGCAAGAGAAGGCAGAACAGCAGAACTTGCAGCTCTGGTAAAAAAAAAAAAAAATAAATGTGTTATTTCTTTATGCTGCGGGAAATTTTCTATCTAATGTTGAGTTCCTAATGTAGTCAAACTGTGGGACCAAAATACTCGAGATCAAAGTAATAGAACAAAAGTCTTTAAATATCTAAAAACACAGTCTGGTGATACTTTAAGCAGGATTCATTTTACATGATGGTGTTTTTCTCTGATTTACTTCCGCACTTTCTACTGAAAACCTAATGGCTAAGAATCATTTTTTCAATTTAAACATTTAATGTAAGGATAGTTTTTTTAAATGATTAAGCCAATTTAAAATTGACATGTAATGTATAGAATCCTATAAAGGAATATCTTTCTCTAATTTTGATGAGTAATTACTTCTGAAAGGTATGCTGTACTTCCAGAAATTAACATACAGACAATGGACATTATTTTTGAAATATTTATATCATGTTTGAACAGGCTGAAAACTTTACCCATTTTATTTTTTTCTCCTTAGGAGACCTACTTTTCAGTTCCATTCCCTGAAAATAGTCTCATTAAACACAAAACTCTGAATGTGTTCTAAATTCAAGACTGAAGCATGGCTGTTTGCCTTAAAGTTATTTCAGCTTGTTTGAAAAGGCTTCTCTGGTTTCCAAGTATGGGGCCTAAAACGTTTTTTAAACTCCCTGAAATGGAGACTGTAAAGAATTGTTTTTAAAGGAGTCAACCGGGAACAGCAAATTCAGTAGACCTTTAACATTTACACATTTAACATTTATGGTTTTAACTCTTCTGAATGGCTGTCTTTGGTAGACCAATTTGCAATTCTGTTGTCATGAATGTGAATTGCAAGACTGGTAGGAGCGAGTGGATCTTCGTGGAATCCCAGTGCCCCAGCCTGTTGTGTGGTGTCTGTTGTCAGGGAAGTGTGGGCCTGAGGCCCCATGGCAGCTTGAGGAGAGCATGGAGGGTGATGTGGCTTTACTGCTTTTCTGAGCAGGAAGCCACTGACAGTCAAGATGCTAAGGAGCCCAGCTGTGCCCAGGCTCAGGAGACTGAGGGTCCACCTGAATTATCGGTTATGTGGTTTTATGGGAGAAAGTCTGTCTTCGGCATATAATTCACATTGCATTTCTTCAATTGTTAGCTCAACCGGCCAAATCCTCCTGATGTTAACTGTTCGGATCAGTTAGGCAACACACCCTTGCATTGTGCCGCTTACCGGGCTCATAAACAATGTGCATTAAAGCTTCTAAAAAGTGGAGCAGACCCGAATCTGAAGAACAAAAATGGTAAGCATGTGGGTGAAAGCCATTGTTGGTCATTTTGAAGTTATTAAAAAAAAAAAGCATTTCGTTTTAGTATCCAGCCTGTGTTAAACTGTTTAATTTTGAAGTTAGGTCATTTATACAAAAGAAAAAATTTATTGATTTACTTCCCAGTTAAGACCTAAATGTTTAATAATGCCTATTTCACCTGAGGCACTAAAGATGACTTAAAATCTGATTCCTACCCTCAAGGGGAGGAAACGTACAGTTCAGTTCAGTCCAGTTGCTTAGTCGTATCCAACTCTGTGACCCCATGAATTGCAGCACGCCAGGCCTCCCTGTCCATCACCAACTCCTGGAGCCTACCCAAATTCATGTCCATTGAGTCGGTGATGCCATCCAGCCATCTCATCCTCTGTTGTCCTTTTCATCTCCTGCCCCCAATCCTTCCCAGCATCAGGGTCTTTTCCAATGAGTCAACTCTTTGCATGAGGTGGCCAAAGTATTGGAGTTTCAGCTTCAGCATCAGTCCTTCCAAGAACACCCAGGACTGATCTCCTTTAGGATGGACTGGTTGGATCTCCTTGCAGTCCAAGGGACTCTCAAGAGTTTTCTCCAATACCACAGTTCAAAAGCATCAATTCTTTGGTGCTCAGCTTTCTTCACAGTCCAACTCTCACATCCATACATGACTATTGGAAAAACCATAGCCTTGACTAGACGGACCTTTGTTGGCAAAGTAATGTCTCTGCTTTTTAATATGCTTTTTAATATCTAGGTTGGTCATAACTTTCCTTCCAAGGAGTAAGTGTCTTTTAATTTCCTGGCTGCAATCACCATCTGCAGTGATTTTGGAGCCCCCCAAAATAGGTTCTTGTTATTTGTGGTAGTTTTGTTCTATTAATACAATGTTGCTGGGACCTCTGAATTAGTGGATACAGAACCATTGCTCATAAGGGAAATACAGAGTGAGGTTCCTATGAACCTTTGGTCACAGCATTTCATCTACAGATCACACGTAACCTTGTAATATGTGAGCCTCTGTGTAAAAGCACCTTATTTAATGTATATTATTGATGATTAACATTGAACCTGCTACCAGGAACATCATAGCTCAAGCCTGAACTAAGATCCTGTAACACGTATTCTATCTGGGAGGCACGTCACAGGCTTCTTGAGCTTATGAGCACTAGACAGCACTTCATCGCTGTGCTTGGGGGGCAGTTTCAACAGTGAAATCACCAGAAACAAGAAGCAAGAAAGGTGAAAAATGCGACCCTAGGTAGACTGTGACGAGGACTCTTGTTTACAGTCTGAGAGCTGAGACAAGAGGGCAGAGCATCAGCCTTTCCACTTCAGGGAACTAATGCATTAGAAGACTCAAGTTTTTTTCTCTTTAAAAAAAAAAAGTTTATTTAACAGCCTTTGAAGACACCTGGTTTGTGTATGAAAAACAGGCAGTAAAATGACAAATGTACAGGGTTCATGGTGGGTAGAAACATGGAGAGGTGGGCAGAAGACTCAAACTTTTTATTAATCTGGATGTGTCTGTGAATGGCCAGAAAATTGCCACGAGTATTGATTGGCAATTAAAGTAAATTTTAACGGTAGGCAAGTTTGTAAATGTGGAGTTCTCAAATGAGAAGGATAGACTTATACACCCAGGACAGTGTCGGTGACAGCGTTGGGTAACCGTGAGAGAAGCTGCAGAGCGTGTCTTGGGTATTCAGTGGGGGGACAGCCCAGCAGGGCTGCTGCACATCCCCTTCTGTGGACCTGGAGGGCTGGGATTTACAGTCCTGAGAAGGGGAAGACTGTAGGAGGGGCAGGCGAACAATTGCTAAGAATTATGGGCTCGGTTTTTAAGACATTACAATTTTGAAATATGATTATGTAATCCACATGATAGAGTTGGAAAAAAAACTTTGAGTCTAGGGGGGTGGGGTCTGGGTGGAGATACAAATTTGGGGATCATGTGTAAATGTTAGAATCTACATGGATCAAAGAAATGAACATAAGAGTTAAAACCATAAAACTGTAGAACAAAATGCAGGAGAAAATCTTAGTTATCTTGGGTTTTGCAAAGATTTCTTAAATATGACACAAGTATGAATGATAAAATATTTATAAATTGGACTTTGTCAAAATTAGAACATTTTCCTCTTCAATAGGCACTGTTATCAAAATGCAAGTTATTTTATGGAAGGAAATATTGGCAAAGCATATACAACAGTGAACCTCTATCTAGATTATGTACAGAACCTTTATAACTCTTAAGAGGAAGATAACCCAATTCTAAAAAGTTTCAGCCATTTCACCAAAGATACACAGATGGCAAAAATCACATTACTAAAAGATCCATATAGAGGTATAGAACTTAAAATTCATTTCCATGAAAAAAGTGCATTCACATAAATACAGGGAGTATGTATCATGATGTTTATTTCAGCTCTATCTAAATTAAAAAGGTGGACATAAGCCTAACAGCTCAAATCAGCTGGGGTTTGCTTTAATACTTGCAGTAATACTAAAATCGATAGAACAGGGGCTACTTATATCAATGTGGATAAATAAAACAATGAGCAAAGAAAGGTTGTAGAATAATAGATACGCCATTATTTCAATATTAACACCATACTGAACACGTAAAAGCACTTTATGGGGGACTTCCCTGGTGGTCTAGTGGCTGAGACTCTGTGGTCCCATTGCAGGGGGCCCAGTTCCCATCCCTGGATGGGGAATTAGATCCTGCATGCCACAGCTAAGAGTCCACATGCTGCAGCTAAGACCCAGTGCAACCAAATAAATAGACAAATAAAAAGAAAAAAATTTTTTAAAAAGCACTTTATGGGTACATTCCTATATAATAAAAGTGGAAATACACGCTTGAGAATGATGATACTACCAATTTGTGTCATCAAAAATATGAAAACAAAATAATAAAGCTGGAAGTGGGGAAGAATCATCATGATTACCTTTGAAAGTTAGTAGCAGTTTACTGTGGAGAAGGCAATGGCATGCCACTCCAGTACTCTTGCCTGGAAAATCCCTTGGACTGAGGAGCCTGGTAGGCTGCAGTCCATGGGGTTGTGAAGAGTCAAACACGACTGAGTGACTTGCCTTTCACTTTTCACTTTCCTGCATTGGAGAAGGAAATGGCAACCCACTCCAGTGTTCTTGCCTGGAGAATCCCAGGGATGGGGGAGCCTGGTGGGCTGCCGTCTATGGGGTCGCACAGAGTCGGACACGACTGAAGCGACTTAGCAGCAGCAGCAGCAGTTTACAGAATGATTGAAGGGTAAACTTCTAAAAGGAATGGAAGGTGGATACAGATATTTGGAAAGTTCAGCGTGTCCGTTAAAAGATGTTAATGTGTTCTTTATAAAAGTTAAGATGGTGCTTTCTGAGAAAGTATTTTTTCTTACCATAAGAGTAAGAAAAAATAAGTTTTTTAAACATTTTTTTTATTAAAAAAAAGTTTTTCTTATTCTACTTCCATAAGAGTAATAATGTCCACATTTTAGGAAGTTTTAAAAATAGAGAAAGAACATAAATTACTCCAATATAGCCTCTGGTATTTTGGCATATTATATACCATTCGAATTTATTCTCATACCTATTTTTGAGCATTTTTTAAAGTTGCAAAACATGCTTCTTCTTTTGTGGCCAAAATGAGGAAAATGAAGGCACTGAAAAAGTATAATCACTTCTACCCAAACATCCAAAGATTTAGGTTTTAGTTGCTGTTCTATGGTAGACTAGAGTTTTAAAATTTTCAATAATAGATATCAACTCGAGAGTGTAAGCAAAAGAAGGATCATACACTAATATAAGAATACAGAGGTATCTCTCTGTATTTCAAAAAAGGAAATGCTGTTCACCATCAGAGGGGATGGAATCAGGAAACAGGATGCTGTTAGGCCCCAAGAGGGCTGCCAATCACTGTATGTATATGTGTCTCTTCACTGTGTGGTCCCTCATTTCTGTCTCTTAGCAGATGAGCTCTCTTGTTTTCCAGCATACATGAGGGAAGATGGCTGCCCGGTAGCTACATTTAGCAGATTGTTATCCGTTAACCTCAGTTCCCCGCCCCCCCCCCAACATTTTCCCATTTTATTTTATTTTTTTTATTAGTTGGAGGCTAATTACTTTACAATATTGTAGTGGTTTTTGTCATACATTGACATGAATCAGCCATGGATATACATGTATTCCCCATCCCGATCCCCCCTCCCACCTCCCTCTCCACCTGATCCCTCTGGGTCTTCCTAGTGTACCAGCCCTGAGCACTTGTCTCATGCATCCAACCTGGGCTGGTGATCTGTTTCACCCTAGATAATATACATGTTTCGATGCTGTTCTCTCAGAACATCCCACCCTCGCCTTCTCCCACAGAGTCCAAAAGTCTGTTCTATACATCTGTGTCTCTTTTTCTGTTTTGCATATAGGGTTATCGTTACCATCTTTCTAAATTCCATATATATGTGTTAGTATACTGTAATGGTCTTTATCTTTCTGGCTTACTTCACTCTGTATAATGGGCTCCAGTTTCGTCCATCTCATTAGAACTGATTCAAATGAATTCTTTTTAATGGCTGAGTAATATTCCATGGTGTATATGTACCACAGCTTCCTTATCCATTCGTCTGCTGATGGGCATCTAGGTTGCTTCCATGTCCTGGCTATTATAAACAGTGCTGTGATGAACATTGGGGTGCATGTGTCTCTTTCAGATCTGGTTTCCTCGGTGTGTATGCCCAGAAGTGGGATTGCTGGGTCATATGGCAGTTCTATTTCCAGTTTTTTAAGGAATCTCCACACTGTTCTCCATAGCGGCTGTACTAGTTTGCATTCCCACCATAACCTCAGTTTTAAGTGGGAGACAGTGTGATGGCGCCTTGTGTGAAGTGTCTGCCATTGGTACAGTCAATAGGAGCTGTTGCCTAGGGTCTTCCCCCGGGGGTGTGGAAAGGGCAGAAGATGTCCAGAGGATGGTGAGAAGTACAGGCCGGCAAACACCTAAG